TGATCTGACTGATGAATTCTCCAACTGGGTTGTCTCATGGTCTTCCCTGATAGATTACCCTTTAATTTCAATGAAATTTAATTACTCTTGTATAGAAATTTCATCTAGACAATCAATGTGATACTGACCAACTTCCCTGTATTAGTTATAAAAGCATTCAACTGTGGCTTTCTGGAAACAGAATCTACTCCATTTTTGGAACAGAGTGAAACTCTAGTAAAACTAAGTTCCTGATCTTTGTAAAGAGACCTACCTAAACTGCATGCCTGAAGTATAAATGGCCAAAGTGAAATCTTTTAAATATTCGGGTATGGGTTTCCATAGCTGAACCAAACACAGTATACACCAAAATTATACAAATTGCTCAAAAAACAGCAGCTGAAATTCAATCTTTACACTTCACCAGCATATCCAACCAGCACTAAAATTATATTCAGCTAAGGCTCAAGCCGGGGGTGGGATTCAAATTTCTTAACAACCAGTTCTGTGGGCGTGGCCTAATTTGTGGGTGTTGCTTGGTGGTCATGTGACTAGATGGGTGTGGCTAGTTGGCCATGTGACTGGCAAACCAAATATAAGTGGTCGTTGCTTAATGGCCAGTTGCTTAGCAAGTGTTCTAATTTATGATTGACCTCCCCAGAGCTACTTGACTTGTTTTTGGTGTTTTGACAGCTATACACACACACACACACACACACTTATGTCAGTTATAACATCCCACACAATATTGTGACTGAAATTTTCTGTGTTTTTTTGCCAGTTTCCAACAATTCCTTCTGGTTTCTGGTTAAAAATGTCCATTGGGGAAAATAGACTTCTTTAACAACCACAGTGTTTGCTTAATGACCACAAGATTCACTTAATGACCATGGTGTTTGCTTAACTCGGGGTCTGTAACCTTAAACACTCAAAGAGACATTTTTCTATTTTCTTTTAAACAGGTATCTCTCAGTCTCTCTCTTTCTTTCTCCCTCTTTCTCATCTCTTTTTCTTTCTCCCTTTTTCTTTCTTTCTCTCATCTCTCTGTCTCTTGTCTCTCCCTCTTTCCCTCCCTCCCCCCTCTTCTTCTCTCTCTGTGTCTTCTCTCTCTCTTTTCCTCGCTCCCCGCCTCTTTCTTTCTCTCTGTCTGTATGTGTCTCTTGTCTCTCTTTTTCCCTCCCTCTGTGTCTCTTGTCTCTCTTCCCTCGCCCTCTCTTTCTCTCTGAGTGTATGTTGTCTCTCTTCCCCCTCTTTCTCTCTGTCTCTTGTCTCTCTCTTTCCCTCCCTCCCTCTGTCTCTTCTCTGTGTCCATTGAGTGGGGGAATATAAGTCACTTTTTTCAGTGCTGTTGTAACTTCAAATGGAGGCTAAACAAATAGTTGTAAGTCAAAGACTATCTGTATCTGCTGCTTTAATCTTCCAATTAGCATCTAACTAAATTTCAGCTGCATCTCTGCACCAGACACCTAGGATAATTTCCTTATTCCCAAAATGCAGGAAAATAACCCAGGCTCACAAAAAGTTGTACTTCTGATGTTTTTCAAGCTTAGCAACTTTAAGACATGTGGACTTCAGTTCCCAGAATTCCCCAGGCAGCATGAGACCTGATCATTTGATTACTCCCAAGTCAGTAACATGAAAGAATTACCAACTTTAAAGATACTGAGCATTGTATCTCTGTATGAATTGATTTAATAAGATCCCATACTTATCACGCTCCTGTCTCTGCTTGGACAGAACCATCAAGGCACTTCTACTGGATCGCCCCTTGTACCAAGGCTCTGATTTAATATTGCCTGCTCTTCCTCCTCCTCCTCCTCTTCCTCCTCCTCACTAAATGCATGGATTGACCTCGAATGGATGTTACCTATTTTCTACTGGTGGGTTAATCTATAAAATGTAATATAAACTGCCCTTCATCGCAAGGACACAGCTTTAAAGAGTAAAGTCCCCCCCTCCCCCAGGGATACTTGCTCCAGGCTACTTTAAAATGCTTTAAAGCCCAGTTCAGCTACAGCAACGCTTCCTGGAACTTCTCCTTGAACCACTGAGCTCCTTGGCTTTTATTCTGAAATCCAGCCGGAGAAGCAGCGCTGGATTTTAAAAGGCAAGCAGCTCCTCGGTACTACAAGAAATGTCGGGAAGCGAATGAATTAGTCAATTAAATAATACTTTTAAACTACTTTCTCTCCCAGCAATCTGGGCTGAGGCAGAATTAAACCATATCTGCTCCACTGTTTTCTGAATGGATTTTATAGGAAGGAGGCTTAATTTCACAGGCACACACAACCAGCCACTTCCCACTCGATCTACCTCATTTAGGAAGCACAGAGGGTGTCATCAGCAACAGCAAAACTCAATATCTTCCAAATGGGATAGGCGCAGGCGGGGGTTGGGGGAGGAGAGAAAGGGATTCTTGCTCCAGGCTTAAAGCCTCATTAGAGGCAAGTGGCTGGGAAGGGGCGGGGCCAGCCAGGGGCATGATTTGCCAGTTCTCCGAACTGGGCAGAATCATAACATCTGGTTCTATAGAACTGGTGGGAACTGGTAGAATCCCACCCCTGGCTCAAGCACAATAGGCAGACTTTGATTTACCTACTGAAAAACCCACTGCTAATTGTAATATTTTAACTGGCTTTTACTTTATTTTTAATGTGTTTTTGTTTGCAGTTCTGGTCAGTGATTAGAATAACGATATTCATTCAATCTTTGATAGAGATCCCACTGACTATGTAACTTCCTTCCTCTGAAGGATTACCATGTTTTTGTCATTTCTGAATAACACATGCGATGTCATATTCAAGAGCATATCGATGCAAACTCTGTTCTCTCAGCCTCACAAGTAAACTTAATATAATGCTGAAAAAGTCACAGACAACCTGGTATTCTGTTTGTTTAGAAAACAGCAAGTGGGCAAACAGGATCCAGTTTATGAAAGAGATACAGTAGTACACTATCCATTTGATGGTGGAGCTCTTCACAGTGTTTTTCAAAGTGATTATTTTTCCATTTTTAACTAATATTAATCATTAAATTAAAAGTTAACTACTTTAAACATTAATTAATTTAAAGTATTTTTCATCAAATATTTGCTTATGATATATATTGATTTAATAAGATCCCATACTTACCACGCTCCTGTCTCTATTAATATGCATATCTGTGTACATGCTTGCCTCACATAACAGTAAATTCTAAGAGTCTGTGCAGCAATAAATAACAGAAAACTGCCTTAAAATATGGCAATTGATATTGATATGCTTGGTAACGCATAGCAATAGATTATACGACTCCCACCTTGACAATGTACAAAAAATCTCCATTCCTGTACACTCCGGGTTAGAATGAGCATTGACCCCTTTATACAATTTCATATGTTTCAGAAATCGATCTTTCTAGTTTGTAATTATCTTTTAATGTAGGCTGCACAGACGTGGGCATCCTTCTAAAATCAGTCTGTCTCTCTGCCTATCACTTTCTTTTATCCCTTATCCTATTCAAGGTTTAAACATTCACGAATTCTTCAGAAAAAAATGTGCAATTTCAGTTAAAAAAACATTTTTCAGTTCAATATTCTATCAACTACATTGTATTTGCACATATTTTTATTTATGCATTCATGTATGTAAGACATATATATAGCCATCCATCTTATAATCAATTCTCAGTGGCTTTATATCATATATACCTATGGCACATATAATTTTCAGCATTCAATTTCAAAACTCACTGGATGGATATCTACTAATCTAATCTAATCTAATCTAATCTAATCTAATCTAATCTAATCTGTTTGTGTGTCTGTGTGCATGTATGTGCGTGCACAGAGAGCAGCCATGCAGTCAGTCAGATAGGTATAAATATGTGTGTGTGTGTGTATATGATATAAAATCTAAAAAGTTTCCATTTAATTAATGAAATTTAATTAATGAATTAATTTGCCATTTAATTAATGAAAAGTACAGTAAGTGCTTCTACAAATATTAGATGAAAAAACTGCAAAAAGGGGCAGAGGCCAATTGTCTGAACCGTGAATCTTACAGCATTTTCCAAAGAGACATTAAAAATTCAAAATGACCATTGCATCTATATAAAAGAGAACATTTGCAGATCAAGTTAGAAGCCTGATTTGATGTTTCTAATAGGCAATAAATCTGCAACCCTAAGTCTTCATATTTAATGCTAGAAAAAAATTAAAAATATACAACAATTTATAAATATTTATTACCATTCCATGAAACTTTTAAAACAGACATAGAACTAGCTGACAATTTCCAAGCTCAAGCCTTAGTCACTTCCCACCTTGACTATTGCAATGTGCTCTATATGGGGCTGCGCTTGAAGAGCATCTGGAGGCTCCAGTTGGTGCAAAATGCAGCGGCCCGGACGGTTTTGTGCAGATTCCGGTGTGCACATATATTCCAGTGTGTTCCTGTGGGAGCTGCATTGGCTGCCAATTTGCTTCCAGGTGCAATTCAAGGTGCTAGTTGTTGCCTTTAAGGCCCTTCATGGCTTGGGACCAGGTTATCTGAGGGACCGTCTCTTGCTGGTTACATCTACCCATCAGAATAGGGAGGCAGGGAATGCGGTAGGTCCCATCCCCAAGGGAGATACACCTGGTGGGACCTAGAAGGGCCTTCTCCGTGGTGGCTCCCTTTCTCTGGAACAACATTATCCTAGAGATTAGAATGGCCCTACTCTAATTCTCTTCTGGAAGGCATTGAAGACCTGGTTCTGCCAGCTGGCCTGGGGAACTCAGAGTGGGATGGAGCCCATTAAATGGCTTGTGTGGTCTGCTGTCACTGAGGTGGGAGATGGGGTGTGTGTGATTTTATTATATTAATTTATTTGATTCTTCTTACTAGTTTTACTGTTTTAAATGTGGTTTTATACCTTATAAATACATACATACATACATACATACATACATACATACATACGGTCTCAGTTCTGTTTCCTATCATATTGGACTAAAGACTAATCCAACAGTTTTTAGACTAAAATACTTTACATTGCCTTACCTGGTACATTCCAATTCCAATATGTTTGGGCTCAATTTTCACTAGTTCAGCTAAGGGATCTTGTACACGTCTTGCAATGGAAACTGGGGAAAAACAGAGCAAGAATGGTATTATGTGAAATGCAAGACAAAAAAAAATACTGTACTTTTCATTAGGTTTACTTAGTGGAATGAATTTTCATTCTGTTTTTTAACTGCACAGAAAATAAAGCTGTAGTGTATGTTAAAATTAAGTCTCAAATGAGAAAATACATATTGTGGTGAACACAAGCAGCATGTTTTCATTAATTTAACTTTAAAAAAATCTTGCCAGGCATGTACAGTGAAAAATAGAGTGATTATATTGAAGGAATGCAAACAACACATTAAGAGGAACACATGCCACAGTAATCAAGTATTAACATTAATTAGTTTAGACAAATTATATAAACAATTGGGATTTTTGTGTTTTCTCATTGCCTCGATTTCCATATATTTTCTCTCACTCCCTGTTTCCTCAACTCAAAACAGCTTACAAAATACCAATATGGATGCCACAAAGGCAGAGGCCAGACTTTTATGTAAAGTAATCTTTACATAAAAATAGCACTGAAAATCTGTGCTATATGGCCATACAACGTAATGGTAGATCATAGAAATTAATATATATTAATATATATGTATATTTCAGTCAGTACAAAGGATTGTTGGGAGCCAGGCACAGTAAATAAATATAAATAAATAAATAAATTCTAAGAAACTAATTCCTTTCATATTCAGTGAATATGAAGTCAATTACAAATTTGACTTTCATGTTGAATTATAGAAATACTACAAACATCTCCATGCTTCTTAATATTGGTGCATAAAATCTTTGATTCTGAAATATCTGAAGTGTACTAGATTGAGAAAAGATGCTCCAGTTATTTATTTTAAGCAACACAAAGTATACAATAATTATGCTTTTGAAAAAAATGTATTTTTAGCTTAAATTGTTTAAGTGTATTCTCATTTGCGTTATAGCAAATAAATATAACCCTAGGTCAAGGATCCCCAGCCCCCGGGCCATGGCCCACTACAGGCTGTGACCCTATTCAGAACCAGGTCACATGAGTGGTGGGTCAGTGCACCACACATACGCGATCTGGCTCACTGCTCGTGCAAGTTGAGCTGCGCATGCCCATGCGCTGGACCGCCACTCGCATGGCCCAGTTACCTTCCCTCCTCCCCCAGGCTGTCAAGCTGCAAAGGTTTTGGACTGCTTCCCTAGGTGACATGGATGTCCTGAGTAGGTTTTCTTTTCTTTTTGTGATTGACAATCACTTGGGGATACAGAAAGATATTATGAATTAGTTGTTTTTACATTAGTTATGCTAGAGATTAAAGTTTGCTGTCACTCTTGTTCTCAGAGCTTGAAGTAGATAGAAGAGGAACAGAGTGGAAAACCTGAGAGTGGTGATCAGAGAAACAAAGTGACAAGGAGGGGAAGGAATGTAGTGATAAGAGACCGGAAAGAAAGAGAGGAGACCAAGGTGACAATAAGATATAGTAGGGTAGAGACAAGACAGGTAGAAATTTGTGAAGAGTTGAACACAGTGATACATGATAAAGACCTTGCAAGAAGTGGCAAAGAGGGAGCCAGTCATTCTCTTTCAGTCCAATCCCTCTCCCAGAGTTGTTGTTGTGGATAAAATAGGAAGAAGTATATGTATGTTCATTGCCTTGAGTTACTTACAAAGTACTAAAGGTGGGGAAAAATCTAATAAATAAATAATTGCATAGACAAATGTAGCCTTAGAATAAGATAAGAATTAGTTCATCTGGTCATGTTTCCTGTCTGAACTGACACCAATCTTGGAAGTCTCCTTTCCTGTAATTGCAACTGGGGAAGGGGAAGACTTTGTTTGGAAACTAAGTGGCCTGGTAGAGACCTGGCCTTGGATGTCTATTGTTCTAACTTGTGTTGGAGAAGTTGTGGGATTTGGGGATTGTAACTATTCCACCACATACTCAGTAATGATTTCCAAATAGCTTCTCTTTGTGTGCCTATCCCAGGAAGTTGCTTGTTTTACTAAAGGACTGCAGTAGATGATGCAACAGAACTGATACTTAAGGCTTCTGTGGAGAAAGACAAGGAATGAATGTGAACAAATACTGCTAAGCGCTCATGTTCAGGCCTGACCCGTGGGCAATAAGAACAGCAAAGTTTGCAATTGGCATTAGTAATTAGGGTAGCCTACTTGTTGGGGGGGGGGGAGGTAGGATGATCTGGCAACAGGCCAATGAGAGATGTCCGCTAAGTATCCTATTGATAAAATCTGTCACATTCACTTTGACCTGGGCTGTTCTTGGATGCATCTTGATAAGATTCTCAAAACAATGTTTGGAAAGGTCATTTGGAAATAATTTTAACTTACAGAGTCTGAGAAGGAATACAGCATAACACAGTTACTCCGGGACAAAATAGAAACCCTTGAATAGTACTTTCTGACAGAGAAAATTCAGCGGCCAGGTTGAATTACTAGGGCCAGCCCAGAGTCTATACAACCAAAATCATGTTCTATACTCATGGAGCATCTGGTTAAGCATTAAGGTTTCATATCAGATAGAGTAATTAGATTCCATAAGTCCAAAGAGAATCAGAATGAGTAGATTTTATAAACTTATAAAGTCATACGGTACTTATAAGATGCTCTCTATTTAACAACACCAAGAAATTTTGCCCTATATGCTGGTATCAAAGCTTGAATTCTGGATCTCCTTCTCCGTTTTTGATTTTACTTGCTTGTGTCTACTTGTTTACTGGCCTTGAAGGTTTATACTATCCATCGCTTACTTACAAAATAGTTTTCTATGGTGTGAGAATCACACATTCCTGCCTGACTAGTATCACCCCTTACAATCTGCAATCATAACCGAAAGTTTCTAGTTCAGTATTAGCAATTCCCAGCAACCAAAAGAAAGAAGCAGGGTTCTGAAGAAAAAGATATTCCAATATTGTCAGCTTCCAAGTTCCTAGTTATAAACTATAAAAATGGCAAGACTGGCACTAAGAGGCAGTTTGTTTAATTTGGTTGCCCTAACTACGAAAGCCACACAGTACCTGAAGAATACCTACTGTTATTGATTTTTTTTTCTTAGAATGGTTCATAGATGCTTTATCAGATACAATATAGGGCATAATAACTCAGTTGTTTAACTTAAATATTTCAAATGCCAGAACATGAGGCGCACATTCAGATACAACTAATATGTGCCATGACCTATCTCTTATTCCAAAGATCTGCATATTCTTCCTTTGTAAAAGAAAAAGTTATATACTAAAATTTAAAGTTCATGGCTCGGTCACACACAAGGTTTCACATCCTTTAATACAAGTTTTAACATATATGAACAATGGCAGCTTCCAGCCTGACTTAGAAACAACAATGTTAGTGACATCTGATCAGTCAGCTTCTATAACAGAGAACTTGTGAATTCAAAGACTTCACGTATGCATTTTTTGTCAAAATAACAAAAGATTAATCAGTGCAAATACAACAGCCTACAAAAGAAATGCTTTCCTATAATAAACTCTCTTATAATTACCACTTGGAACTCTGATGGTATGGATCAAGGGAAACTTTTAAAAGATAGTATTGTTTTACTAAGAAAGAGCGAGAGGAAAAGAATGATGGGTGAAATTAACAATAAGATGAAGAGATGAATAACATATACAATACAAGAAAAAACAGAATTGCAAAAAGAATTTACCTGAGCATATAAAATGAAGTATTCACTATCTAAAGCAATCTTCCCCAATGTAGCATCCCTCAGGTATGTTAGATTTTAAATCCCATGATAAACTGAAGTTCAACATATCTGGAAAACACCATGTTGGGAGGACTGATCTAAACAGCAGTGCCATATTCCATGACTATGCTCAGAAAAATATACAGGGAAAAAGGGGAATCAAATAGAACAAAGCATAATTCTAATATGTATACAAAGTTGGAATTCTATATCAAGTAGGGCTGTGCAAACCACAACTCTCAATGATGCTGAATTAGCGATGCTGAATTAGCCATGGTTCTCAAAGGTACAACATAAAATCCTTTGTTGGTCTTCTGAGAGCATGCATATGCAAGCTCAAACAACATAGGGAAGCCCTCAAACAAGACACACCAAACTATAACGTAATGTTTTAGTTTAGTTTGCTTTATTGTCATTGCACCTCGTACAATGAAATCAAACAGATACACACATCTGTGAAGTGATGGCCTGTCCACTTAACAGATAATCAGAGTTGGAAGGGACCTTGTAGCTCATGTAGTCCAACCCCCTGCCCAAGCGGGAGACCCTACACCATTTCTGAAAAATGGCAGTCCAATCTCTTCTTGAAAGTCTCAAGTGATGGCGTTCCATCTTCAGTGCACATCATGACTACGACCATGACAATAAACACAAACACACATCCCTCACCCTTCACACAATGAACCGGAAACCCCCGACACCACACCAACACTGCACTACACAGCAGAATTCAAAAGAGCTACTGCCCTGGGATAGAAGCTGCCTATTTGTCCTTGTTTTTATTATTCTGTGCCGTCTGCCAGATGGTAATCGTTCAAACAAAGGGTTCCCAGAATGAGATGGATCTTTGAGAATGTTTTGAACTTTCTTAAGGCAGCGGGAGCTATAAAGCTCTTCCAGAGAGGGGAGAGGGCAACCAATGATCTTCTGGGCAATGACATTAACCCTCTGGAGTGCTTTCCTATCTGCCACTGTGCAATTGTCAAACCATACAGAGGTGCAGTATGTTAAAATGCTCTCTATGGTGCAGTGGTAGAAGGTCACCAGCAGTTTCTCATTTAGTTGTTGTTTTCTGAGAAGCCTCAGGTAGTATAATCTCTGCTGGGCCCTTTTGACCAGGGCTGCAATGTGGGCACCCCAGGTCAGGTCCTCTGTGAATACTTTGGTGCATTAAGTGACTTATGATTCATCCTCAAAATTACAACATAATTATGTTCACATAATTGTGATTCTAGCACTTGGCAACTGGCCCACATTTATGTTGGTTCTGTGGTCACATGATTGTGATTTGTGAGCTTTCCAGCTGGTTTGCA